ATGGCTGAAATATTGCCGATGTGACTTAAAATCTTAACTCACTCACTCACTAATTTAATGACTATAGATTGTTATATTGTATATTGCATTGATTAGAAACTAACATATACTACTCACACTTTGCTAAGGATCAGCAGATTAGTAACTGAGATTGTTAGTGGGTGTACCCTCAAAGGGGGTTGAAGTAGTGTAAAATTATTGTCCTCCTGACAGGGTACGTAAAGTCCAAAAACTTTCAAAGTAGAATTTTCACATACCAAGTTTTTAAACGTAGTATTTTTGTTCATTTAGATTTCGGCTAAATTATCATACAATCACCAGCGGCTGAAGGGATAGTGTAAATCCAACTAGGGTCCATGCAGGAAGCAAAGGTACTGTAAGTCCCCATGGACCGTAGTATGGTGACCTACTTTCAGTTGTTGGTGATCTATAGCCTAGTTTTATATTATGTTGTCCCCTATGGTTAAAATGTTTGAGACTGTATTACTAGTTTTATCTGTATATGTGATATTCTAGTTGTTTTACTGCCCTTCGTTGGCAGGTTTTTATAATATACATATATTTCACTTCCATAGCAAATGTTCTCGTCACGATATGGCTGCAATATTGCCGATGTGACGTTAAATATTAACTCACTCACTCACTATTTTCATAAAAAAATTAAGGAACTTTCACACATGATAATTGCTTCTTGATAGCCACACGATTTGTTCCATATGGAACAAATACCGTAGGAAAAATCTTTCTTTTTTGTTTCCGTTCCCCCCACCCCAACAAACAAAACCCTCTTTTTGACACTTTATGATGTGAGTGGAAGTTCCTCTTTACCCGGAATATATTCTGTGTATGCGGAACGAAATAATTGTTCCGCCTGCTCTATTACATGAACAAATGTTGAAATGAAAAGTTCCAACAGAACTTTTACTATGGGGGAACCAAATCTTTTTTTACATACAGGCGGGGCCGCAGCGTAACATACTGGTTACAGATGTGTTACGGAAACAAAAGATAGATGTACAAACACTCGCCATGTTCTATTTTGAAATGCAGGGGTCGTAAGTTTTAAGTGAATCTGAGGCGATCGTAACAGTCCCTGATGGGGGGGGGGGGGTGTCCGCGACAAGGCCCTTGCTGGGGGTGCCCGTAGGGCGGTACAATGCCCCCCGGAAGCAGAGAGATATTGGCATGAAACAAAGACAAAAACGAGCGACCCAATTAAGATAAACACTTGTAAGTCCAAGTATGGTTCGGGTCATTTTATGGTCGGGTTATATAAATGATCTTACCAATTGTTCGGAAAGAGGTAAGCTCTAAATGATATGAACACTTGTCGTGAGTGAGTGAGTTTAATTTGACGCCACACTCAGCAATATTCCAGCTATATGGCGGGAATATATCTACAATTCTTCAAGTACTGTATATTAAATAACTAGATACATTTAATGGGAGGGGCATAAGTTGTTAGCAGCGCTAAAACGATTGCTAGGGACCCAGAGACATTTTAGCACTATAAAACCAGCTTCAGTCAGGGCTAGTACAAGCAACCGCACCTACACATAAACACGCATGCACGTCGTCATATAAGTGAAATATTCTCCAGTGCGACGTTAAACCCAATTTCACCTCGCCTCACTACAATTTTTACCACTTAGACTATACTACCACTACGGCCACCACTAAGACCACCGCGACTTCTACCACGACTACCAAAGACCACCGCGACTACAACCACCATTACCACTACACCATCCACTTCCATTTCGACTACCACTTCGACTACCACTACGATCTGGTCTGACAAGAAATTCTAGATTATGTCCATTTTGTGTTATACCTGTAATTGAGAGAGAATATCACATATGTTTGGAATGTCCTTTTTACTATAATCTGAGACATACAATTTTGCCTGAGTTCTATTGTACTCATCCTTGTTATTTTAAACTGGTATTAATTTGCACATCACACGATTTAGGTATTTTAAATCGTTTAGCGAAGTTTCTGCTCCTTGCATTCAAACAACGTAACAATTACCTTGACAAAACTTATACAACCCGTTAAGTGTATGTTTATTGACCTTGTACAGTGTTATGGCGCTCCAGATATCAACTTTCATGATATGATTCATGTAACTGTATAATGGGCCTGTGGCCCCTTTATGGAATAAACCAATTATGACTAAACCGATTACGACGAACGATTACGACTACCACTACGACTACTACTACGACCACCACCACAACTACCACTACTGCTACTATTACTACAACGACGACCACAAACAAACACCACCAACACTACTGCTGCCGCCACTGCTGCAACTTCTACTGCTACAGCTACTGCTGTTGCTGCTCTACTACTGTTAAGGCTACTACCTCTACTACAGTTACTGTTACTGCCATTATATATTCTTTTACTACTGCTACGATACTGTTCACCCACGATGTGAACTCTATACGTTATTTAAAACATGTATGTATATATCCAACGTATAGAACTTAAGTAAGTTGTACAGTGTGTCCAATAATATATGTCCGGCTAATAAAGAAAAATATTGTATTAGTAAGGAATTAAATGCATCATGTCCTATATATCTGTTTGAAGCTGAAAGGTTTTGTGTTAAGTATGTCAATAAGTGATGTGACGTTATCGTAACGTCTTATGACGTCATCTATGACAATATATGGTATGTTTCTTTACTTGAAAATGACTGATTATGCTGAAATGACATACACTTTGACGTCATTTGCGACGTCATTAGGTGTTACGTGAACCCTGCATGCCGTTCTGGTATGCGTTTTCAACCAACGAATATAGCTCACCGTAAGCTCTATTCGTTGTCAACCACAGAATACAGCTTACGCGTAGGCTCTATGTGGCGTAACAACGCCCACAAAGAAAAATAATCACCACTTTTATGTACGGTATGGTTTTTTTATTGGCGGGGCGCCTAATGCGCCCGCTCCCACCAATTTACTATCAGAAAAGACCTGAAGGAATATCTTCTTAAGGGTAACGTTTGGCACTTTGTAAGTTTTATTACATAATGCGTTAAGATGTGCAAATTCTTATTACATTTCGCTACTCGATCCGGTATGTTATACCAACGCGTTTTGTAATAAACTATCAGAAAACTTAGAAATCTCAACAGTTCATATCATGGAATGGGTTTAAGCTGAAGTTTACACTTAATCAAGGATGTAGAACACATATTGTCCTCACCGCAAGGAATATGTTCAACTTTGATTTTCAGTCATTTTCCAGCCTTAGGCATTAGTACCATGAAATCGCCTAAGTCCGAACTGTTTTTGGATTTTATTACATAGTGCGTTCTTATTACATAGTGGGTTGCTACTGGTGTAACCCAGTTGGTAATAACCCGTTATGTAATAAAATCGTGTAAGTGCGAAACTGTTTTGGACTTTGAAAATTTTATTACATGGTGCGTTGTTATTACATAGTGGGTTGTGGGCTACACAGCACTCAACAAATCTGTGACACCACTTCTTATTCCATACTCTGATTACAAGGCTAGCATTAGAACTTACATCAGTGATGTGATGCAGAAGAAGTGGGACACTCAAGTAAGTATGAATAAATTACATGCAATAAAACCAACCATCGGTTACACCTACTTGGGTTGTCAGTCCAGATTTGAGGAGGTTATCATACAACGATGTCCTACTGGCCACACTAGACATACTCATGAGTACCTATTAAAAGGTGAGGATCCTCCGTTTTGTATCCCTTGTGATGAAAGAATCACTGTCAAGCATGTACTGCTTGACTGTGTTGAATATTCCATCACAAGGGATATCTATTTCGAAGTAAAAACTATGAAGGATCTTTTTAGTAATATAAGTTCTCATTTAATTATTGCCTTTTTTTAAAAAATAGACTTGTTAACTGATTTGTAAATAGATACGTATTTTATTATTGGTTGTTTTGATTAGTAACTGAGCTTGTTAGTGGCTGTACCCTCAAGGGGGGTTGAAGTAGCATAAAATTATTGTCCTCCTGAGAGGGTACGTAAGTCCCAAAACGTTCAAAGCAAATTTAAATTCACCAGCTGTTTTAAATGTAGCATTTCTGTCATTTTAATTTTGGCTAAATTTGACTTCAATCACCAGCGGCTGAAGGGATGATATAAATCCAGCTAGGGCCCATGCAGGTAGCAGAAGTACTGTAAGTCCCCTTGGACCCTAGTATGATGATCTACCTTCAGTTGTTGGTGATCTGTAGCCTACTTATATATTGTGTTGTCCCCTATCGTTAAACTGTTTTAGAGTCAATTACTAGTTTTACATGTATATATGTGATACCGTAGTTGCTTTACTGTACTTTGTCGGCAGGGTTTTATACTATCTATATATATTCCATGTTAATGTCAAGTGTTCTCGTCACGATATGGCTGAAATATTGCCAATGTGACGTTAAATAATACCTCCCTCACTCACTCACTCACTAAGGATTGTTTGAATTTCTAACTGTGTTTTGTAACAAATGCGGTTTAAGATCCCATTGTAATAACACTGACATGTATATATTCTATTGTGTTTGAATTATTTGTATATCCTTGAAATTCCGTATACTGTTTCGCATTTATTAGGTAGTTGAAGAAAATATAATCTTCAGTAACCTCTAAACCATTACATCTAATTCAACAAATCTGCATAAAAAATATTTTAGTATCCATTCCAAATGAAGAGCACCGGGCACTTACCTCTGTAAAAAACATGTCATAATGCCCTTTCCCGCCGACATGTGTTCATTGACCAGACCCTGCATAAGCCTATGATAATGATTAGCAATTGCTTTCAAAACACTATCTGATTACACTACAGGGGCTAATTAATCGTCGCACATATGCGTCTCTCGACCTTACTGAGTAAAACAACATACAATTTCATGTAAAAGTGGCGTCCACACCATCTGGTTATTTCCATCAATGTCCCGCAAGGCATGTTAGACGTAATGTAAACAACCACATTGTCTTTGTCCAGGTGTGGATCTGCCAAACCTTGCGTTGAACAAGCCCACAGACCAGATCTCAACATTTGGAAACTATACATCTGACCTGGCTGTTGACGGAACAAAGAACACCAATATCAGTGCCGGAAGTTGTTCTCACACCAATCGTAGCTGTCTATCGCCCATATCTTGGTGGCAGGTAGATCTTCAACAGATCATCTTGTTCCTAACGGTGTCGGTTACCAACAGGGGAGACTGTTGCCGTAAGTAATTTAAAAAAAAGAGTTTTCAGCAGAACTTTAAGCTGTAATACGATATGAAACTGAATGTATCTGATTCTTTAGGTTTCGTTATTATACCGACTCTACCAAATCACCATATTCATTTTTCAAAAAACGTTACTTTCTTGAGAGCATACATTCACAGTTTGGAACTAGAAACAATTCACTAAGATCCAGAGACTTTATGTATTTATGTGTAACTCGCTATAGTCAACATTTGGGAATATCGGGACGTAGGAAGTCATTCGTCTGTTGCAAATTTGGAATGAACAGCTTCCATTCAGGTGCTACGAATACCCGACACATTTCTGAGTCGTGATAATTTATGTATGATGGGGACAAGTGGTCAGCCTTCCACTTCTTCTGGAGGCTGGAGTGGGTCAGATCGTTGACTTTGTGTACTGGCAATTACGTCACTCTTGTTAAACAACCCCAATACCCGTTAGAATCGGTTCTTTACTGGGTAAGTGTAAATTCCCAAGCTAACACACGATGTTTTGGAGAGGTTGTACTTTGGTAACGTGAGAATACAACGTTCATAACATCGGTATTATGTCATTTTATAACGTTATATCACAACGTTACTTGAACATTACATATGCACAAAGAAAAAAGATAAGCACCCCCTGATATTTTTGATGATTTTTTTCTCCCATTATTTGAAATAATGACGCAAGGTAAAAATATGGTACAAGCAGAGTTTGCGTGATATAATACAACCAGTGATGCGAGACAATCGCGCTCGTGTCGCTTGTGACATGCACGTGCAACATGATACCCCCGAGGAACACACAAATCAGCATGGCCGAGGTGTATTTGTGGGTATTTAACGTTGGCTGAAACGGCCGTTCAAGCATATTCATTGAACATGGCACGGAGACGATGGTCAATCGACACCAGGAATCAGATTATTGGTATGCATACACCAGGAATGTCCTTAAAGGCGATTGGACGAAATCTGGGCTACCATTACACCGCCTAGCCTCATCAATCACATGCCCTAGTGGATTACATCAGGACCAATGCAGTGACAACATTACCCTAACCAGCGTTAAGCCCAGATCCGAACCCTCTGGAATATGTGTGGGAAATTATAAGGCGGAGAATCCAGGCACGGAACCCTCCAGTACAGAATTTACATCATTTGGAGGCAGAGCTGCATCCAGAGTGATTGTCATTGACCTGACAACAGATCCAACCTCTGACTGGAAGCATGAGTCGTAGGGTGGAATGTGTCATCCGGTACGTGGCGGGTCCAACCTGTACTGATTAGTCTCACTGAACACAAACACCATTTTCTTCAAGGAACATTTTAATGTGACAATGTCATTGTCAACACCATTTCATTTACTTGCAGCTTCATAGTTTTGGGTTTTTTCTTTCCGGGTAAAAACAGTTCCCTTGATCACATGTTGCTAGATGGTTTGATGTCCATGCATTTAAGGCCATTACGGTTGAGAAGTCACTATACCGGGTGAGAAGTGAGGAAAACGGTTTGTCAATGCGTGATTTTAAATTCTGGCTTAACTTGCCACTTGTCTCCAGAGAGGATGTCGGAAATGCAGATAGGGTTCATACAGGTAGAAAAAGTACTGTAAGTGCCCATGGTCCGTAGTATGGTGATCTACCTTAGCTACTGTCGAACTATAGTCAGGTTTTACATTTCCTGTTTTTCTATACTTCTGTCAGCTAGTTATATTATACATGTGCTATTCTACTTGTTATACTGTCCATCTATGACAGGCTTCCTATTTTTTATGTTCAATTTCTGGTCACATTATGGCTGCAATAGTACCCTTGTGACTCACTCACTCATTCATTCAATATCGGGTGTACTTGCCTCGTTCATTCATTCTGTTGGGTTGATTTTCAATATGCATTTACCTCACGTTTGTATAAGAATTTAGGCTACATCACTTTAACATCTTTCACTTTTTTTTACCCAGATGACAGGTTAACCAACTTCAGTGTGGAGGTCCATATTAGTGACCCCAGGACCAGCACTGACTCTGGCCACCAACTCTGCTATTGGCATGAAGGCACAGTAGGCAAAGGTCAGACGGTAGACATGGACTGTGCCGTCAACACTATTGGACGTTACATGAGAATAGTCAAGTACTGTTTCTATGACAAGCCTTTAACTTTGTGTGAAGTCGAGGTGAGGGGAGCTCCTTTACACCACACATGTGGAGGTAAGAACATCTAAGTGAACTCCCATGTTGAGGAAAGCGGATGATCGCCATTACGGTACCCCTAGCATAGTACCTTCCCCCCAAAAAAAGAAATATTGCATTAGTTTAAGAGCAGTTATTTCATGTCATGTCAATGACAGACAGGTGAAAATCCAGACGGCTATAGACAATGAGTTTGCCAGCACAACATTTTACAACGTTTTTCTTTTTATTTGAATCATCAAGACGGCATCAACGTCAATACTTTGTATTGCCACCACTGACAGCAATCACTGCTTGGAACCTTTCTCAGCAAAGACCGGGTAAGTTGATGAAAATGCTCTTGCGGAATTCTCCCCCGTAATGAGATGGCCAGTTTTGGACGTGTCTGAGTCGTGTTTTGACGTTGGCGTACACGTCGATCGAGTGTGTTCACCCCATGTGTTCTATGCGGTTTGCATCTGGAAGGCCATGGCAAGACATTGGCCTTAGAATTGACAAGGAAGTGGACGGTGACGGCTGCTCTATGTGAAGTAGTGTTGTCATGCTGGAACAACTCCCTCTGTCGGTCCATAATTGGAATCATGTGACATGCAAAGACTCTGTTGATGTACCGAGTTGCTGTCATCTTCCCCTGAACCACCACAAAATCGGAACTTTGTGAGCAGCATATTGCACCACTCACCACGACACTCCCTCCGCAGAATATGTCCACCTGTCGAAGGCAGTTAGGAGTGAAACGTTCATTTCTCCTGCTGTATTTTATCTCGCCAGTGAAGAAGAAATCATGATTCATTACTGAACTAGACTCGCCTCCAGTTTCTCCGAATCCAGTTCCGGACTCGCAAGCGATTGCCGATGGTAGTTTCGCCAAACAGGGTCGACAACACGTCTTCTTGGTCGAATCTCCACTTCATGCAATCGAATACCCACAGGTTGGTTGGAAATTCGTTTTAGACCAGGAATGCGTTGTGCAGTGTCCATGGCTGTGGCAAAATGATGATGAGCAGCCCAAAGTAGCGGTCCTGGGCTTGGGTGGTAACTCTTGGAGGGCAGCTTCTCTGAATTTGTCTACAGGAAACGACCCTAAAGCTTAAGGCGAGATATGGTGCTCTGATAAACGTTGAAATGTCGGGCAACTGCAGACTGCTACTCCCCACCTTCTAGACGACATATGGTGATGTTTCGATTGGCGGCACTCAGTAGGGGTGAAACGGTATATCGCGGTATTAGTTGAACAGTTGTAGGTTTGGTGTTGCATTTTGCAATCAAAATAATCAGTATTTTCGATGGTCTTACCGTAATTTTATTAACCTTTTCAAAACCTTTGCTAAAACGTCTAGAAATTGAATCATTATATCAATATCTATGCATTTCCATGCTAGAATTAAGTTCAAGATCGCCTCAAGCCATCTATTTACAAAGTCAGCAAGATGGCAAATGCAGATACCAGATCAGTAGGTTGGTTCTGTTTCTTTTTCAGTTATTTCAAATCAGACAAAACAGCGGAACATTGTAATAACTTATAAAAGACAACTTTATCACTTACCATGTTTGCTGTGATGCAACACTCACGTTATAAAGCGCGAGTAAACATGCCATCCGAAAATGTATGGTGTAACATATCATAATAAAACTATCTACCTCGATTTTATTTGATTAAATTTAATCCCATTTTCATTCACAGAAAATCTGTTTACAGTCAGTTCAGAGAAAACGTGTGTGTAATGGCATCACCTCATTCTATACTAGTACCACTTCTGCTTACCATGTTCACGAGGATCTGTTTTTCACGCCTACCGCGACAGCTCCAATTTCACATTATTCTCAGCAATCACGAACTGATCACCGCCTCCATCATCCATGGACCCCTAGACCAGCGTTAATAACTCTTGTTTCAGAAATAATTGTCAACATTTTGTTTTACAATCAAAGTGTCATGTTCCGTGCTAAGTCAGCGGTTACTTGTCAAATTGTCTTATACGTAAAATGTATCCAGCCACATAAGTGGTGAGCCAATCTTAATTTTTCTTTTAAATATGTTCGTAGAAAACATGCATAATACAAATACGAAATACATACTTATTATCTCTGTTAAAATAACTGCTTGCAATATCAATTATTCTGGTGGTCGAGTAATTTTACTGCCCTTCGTTGACAAGGTTTTATATATTATATGTATGTATTATGAGATTAGAACTAGTCACGATATGGCTGAAATATTGCCGATGTGACTTTAGATCTTAACTCACTCACTCACCTTGGTGGTGGAATAAATTCTTTGATGTTATATTTTGAGTTCGTTTTTAACTGAATTACTGGTAGATTGGAGCAAAACATTTGTAAACAGCTGATTGTTATTTCTGGCTTTGTTGAATAACAGGTAGGATCAGGGGAAGGAAAACTGAATTGGCATATGTTGTGATGTTTCATTGCAGGTTTCCTATACACATGTCTGTTTACATTTACAAAGTTTGTTTTTTCACCTCCAACGATACGATATAGATTTGACTGGGCACAAAATACTAAGTAGCATCTCTGTTATGTCCATGGAAAATACGAAAAAAACCAACGAACATTTAAGGACCAATACAAAGAAAAGCAACCAAAACATATTTGTTTCAAAAAGGAGAATTACATTTCCGACTGAACTTTGAAAGATATTTTGAATGACTGAATAAAACAAAATTCTGGAATGTGCCAACATTGAGTATCAGTACTTTCCAAGGAATGTGGAAGGTCTCTAAATGTTAAACAGACTGAAACGAGAGATAGACAATGGTGTAGAACAATGACAATGATCAGTCATACAAACTGCAGCTGGCTTATGACTACTGTGTTGTGGTAATTTGTTTAATGTATTTATCTGTAATGTATCATCAACAGAGTCATGTTCGGCTAGATCTGATTTGCGTATCGTGTTTGTAAAACATGGACATTTCTGGGACACAGTGGGGAGTTCACTGCAGTAGATTTTGATGTGATGTTAGTGACTTTTAATCATACTTGGCTTATTGCTATTTTGCGGCACAGCTTTGAGCTTCTAGGTTACATGGATACTTTAGTTCTTCAGTCTAGTCGTGAGTGAGTGAGTTATTATTTAACTTCACATGGGCAATATTTCAGCCATATGGTGACGAGAACATACTTGACATTGAAATGGAATATATTATAAAAACCTGTAGACGAAGGACAGTAAAACAACTAGAATATCACAATTATAACTAAAACTAGTATGGAAATTTTAAAACTAATAGCACTATTTGGACAATACAATATAAAAACCGGCTACAGATCGCCAACAACTGAAGGTCGATCACCATACTAGGGACGTCTACACAGCAAAAATAACTCGGTTTCCGCAATGCGGAAACCTGGTAGAAAGTGGACTGAAACTTAAGTTTCCACCTAGAATCCAGTGAGTTTCCGTTCTTTTACATTGAGTTTCCGCAATAACGGAAACTTACAATTACCCACTTTCCAAGGGTTTCCGCAAGGTTTCCGTTACCCACACTCCAACAGGTTTCCGCAAGGTATCCGTTACCCACACTCCAAGAAGTTTCCGTTGAGTTTCAGTTAACTTTGAATCCATCAGGTTTCCGCAAGGTTTCAGTTATTAAGACTCCAACAGGTTTCCGCATAGTTTCAGTTACCAACAATCCGACATAGTTTCCGCATAGTTTCAGTTACCGGTTTCAATTTCAGGTTCACGGGTTTTCATATGCGTTTCAAAGAGCTAAATGTAAACATTCTTCTTTATTTATATCATAAACTCTTGTTAAAAACAATATAAGCAATTTGTTATTATCATGACATTTACTAAAAGAAAAACAGAATATATAATAAGATTCATTGTTTTATTTTCTCAACATGGTATGGATTAGCATTTAAGCAAATAAAGATCATACATATAACTAGTAATATAGCACTAAAGAACAGGGCAAAACATGTTGGCATAACTCAATCCAGTTTTAGAAATCATATATACAAAGTTGTAATTTTTCATCAGTTAAACTTTCATTCACTTATTATCTTGAAATAGCATGTTAGATACGAAATTTATTTCTAAAATCAGGCTAATGATGAAAAATAACAATAACATACAACTTAACACAGTGATAAAACATAGTTGCATCGGACATTTATTGGCACGCCTTGGCATTCAGCCACACACTCTATGTCACAACTATCGCCAAACATCCACTATGATATACAATAACAACATACAGCTTACAATACAAAATAAAATAAAATTACATTATGAAATTGAAAATAAATTCAATTAAATTGCAAGAGCTGGTCAGTGGGCCCTGTAAGGGGCATCCCTGGAGCGGAGATCCCTCTGTTACTTTTGTTGGATGCCTCATCCTCGTCCTCTTGTTGGCCTTGACGAGAGCAGTGGAGGTGTAGATTCTTTCCAAGTCCAGTGTCGTCGTGTATGCCATAAGCTTGCTGGACTCACAGACAAAGGGGACGGAATGCAACTAATTGACGTCATCTTCGTCACTCACGACTGGTGATGTCATGTCTATGGTGAGTGTTGTCGCTACCTTTTTCTATCGTCTATCTGGCCAATCAATAGATGCAAGTCTGTTTGGGCGTTGTGCAAGTTTCTGAAAATGGCAGGTTATAACGAATTACTAGGTTATTTTGATGAATTACACAAACATCAATCAACAAGAAACTGACAATGCCAAGGATGATTTAAAATGAGTAATCCACAAGTAAGTTTGAATAAAGAGAACTAAATTGAACAATCACACTTTGCACTAGTTTTCTCAAAACTCAAATTATGCAATTCATCACACTTCATTGACCGAATGTAATATCTTATTTTCTAAAGAGGACACAGAATCTATACAAACTTTGCTCTGGAGTTACATGCTTCCCAGACCAGAGGTAGTAATATGTTATATATAATATCTGAACATTTATTGCATTTTCTATGTAGTAATAATGGTACTAGTAATAGATTTTCATCAACGTT